ATTTTACCATATCCAAATTTTTGATTTTTTGAACGAACTAAAAGTGCTCTCTGTATAAAACAGGTTTAATCAATATTTTTCTGTCATCTATCTTCTATTTGTGGACGTGCTTATGCACGATCGTTCCACATAACCAAAACTGAGCGCAAAAAACTTACAATACACTTTTTCCGACATTGTCCACTAAAGAAGTGACTCGAGCTATACACGGCGGAGAAAAAACTGATCGATTAATCGTTCTGTCCGCCATATTAGCTTTCTCAATATTTGTTGATTTACATTTACACGAGCAAGTAAATTTATAGGTTTTAGTGTTGAAAATTCGATGTTCTTCGATAAGTTTTTACATCGCGTGGAGAATAATAAACTGCAAGAGAAAACTATTCGAATAAACGTGTAAATTTATGAGTTTTATCAAGCTCTTTAAGTGTGCATGATTTTTAATGTAAAATTAAATTAAAACATAGTTTACAGAGATGTAATTTTAAAATGGTTTTGGTGTCATGTAAAATTCCTTATTTTTTGCTGTGCACCTTTGCAGGAACAATTCACAGTCTCTTTGTAATTCAGTGTGCGCTCCTCCTTTCTTCGATTTTTGCTGTCACGATGTATTCAGATATCCTGAGGATCGTTTTTTGGCCACTCTGAAGTAGAATCGATAGGGTGATGGCATATTTCCTCTATACACAAGATTGTATGCAATTTAGAAACAAAAAAATCTGGGACTAGCTTGGGAAATAAACAATTTTCCAGTGAATCCGGCGTTTTATGGCAACCGTGATTGAATCAATATAGAGCTGAGATATCGCTTCTCAACTGAAGGTTCTACATATTTTCTAAAAAAATCATAAATCTCTAGGTCTACCTCAACAAAATTGACCATGATTCCAGTGATTACGGATAACCAGAGGACCGTTTTCTGGTCACGCGGAAGCAGCATAGATATGGTGAGGGCATATTTCCTTTGAGCTCATGATTGTATGAAATTTTAGAAAAAATCGTGGAACTCTAGGACCATTTTTAGGCATTGGTGAATCCGGATATCCAAAAGGGTAATTTATGGCCATCTGGCAGCAAAATCGATATGGTGATGGCATATATTCCTCTATGCTCATGATTGCATGCAATTTGGAAAAAAAAATCGTGGATCTCTAGGTCTACTTTCAGGAATTGACCATTTTCCCGGTGTTTCCGGATATCCAGAGGATCGTTTTCTGGCCACTTGGTTGCAGAATCGATTTGGTGATGGTATATTTCCTCTATACTCAAGATTTCGTGGATCTCTGGGACTACTTTTAGGAAATAACCAATTTCCCGGTGAATCCGGATATCCAGACGGGAGTTTATGGCCACCGGGGGATCGAATCAATATGGAATTTTACATTTTCTAAAAAATCGCGAATCTCTAGGTCTACGTTCAGGAATTGGACTTGATTTCAGTAATTCAGGATATCCAGAGGACCGTTTTCTGGCTACCCGTTAGCAGAATCGATGTTGTGATGACATATTTCCTCTATGCTCATGGTTGTATGCAATTTAGAAAATAAATTGAGGGTCTATAGGTCAACTTTTAAGAATTGAATTTTTTTCTGGTGATTCCGGATATCCAGAGGACCGTATTCCGGCCACTCAGTAGCAGAATCGATATGATGATGACAAATTTCTTCTATGCTCATAATTGTAAACAAATCTAGAAAAGAAAAACACTGATCTCTATGTCTACTTTGAAGAATTAACTATTTTCCCGGTTTCTCCAGATATCTAGAGGGTCCTCTTCTGGCCACTTGGCTGCAGAATCGATATGGTGAAGATTTATTTCCTCTATGCTCATGATTGTATGAAATTTATAAAAAAAAAATCGCGGATCTCTAGGTCTACTCTCCGGTGAATCCGGAAAATCCACTGACATATCTTCTTAACTAAGGGTTCTTCACATTTTCTAAAAACTCACGGATCTCCAGGTCAACTTTTAAGAATTGAATATTTTCCTGGTGATTCCGGATATCCAGAGGACCGTATTCTGGGCACTTGGTAGCAGAATCAATATGTTGATGTCGTATTTCCTCTATGCTAATGATTATATGCAAGTTAGAAAAAATTCCAGATCTCTAGGTCTACTTTCTGGAATTGACTAATTTCCCGGTGATTCCGAATATCCAGAGGACCGTTTTCTGGCCACTTGGGTGCAAAATCGATATGGTGATGGTATATTTCCTCTATGCGCATGATTGTATGCAATTTTGAAAAAAAATCTTGGATCTCTAGGTCTACTTTCAGGAATTGACCATTTTCCCGGTGAATCCGAATTTTCACAGAGCCACCTTTAACGGATTTTATCGTTCCGATTGGCCACCCGCAACTCCAATCGGTTCCTTGTTTGTTCCGTTTGAAAGTAGATAGTCATACCTTTCAAGTAGTGGCTCAATCGAGAACCAGTCATGTCAACATGAATCGACACGCATTTTGCTCGGGATTTTCCGGGTTTTTCCGTTCCGGCTGACCAACCACAGGTCCAATTGGGCTTCTTAATAAAATAAGATAGCCATATCTTTCGATTGGTGGCTGAATCATAACGATTGGTCATTGCATTGCTGAGAACCAGCCATGTCAACATGCATCGACACGCATTTTGCAGCCTCGGGGTTATGTCAGTTAATCAATGAAACACTGTCGACAAAATAATCATTAAATTTAGATGCAATTACTTGTTCTGACTGTTCTAATGTGCCTTTTAAAGTTATGGACCGCGGTTTGCAATTACTAGGTTTTAATAAAAATTTCAAAATTCTCCATAACTCTTCGCTGTTGTTTTGATGCTGATCAATCTTCCTTTGAACATATAATGAGAATGATCTATCATCCAGGCAAAATTCCAGTAAACTTTCCCGGCTTAATGCCTAGAAGAAAAAGGTGTGATAACCACTTTCGATTTCCATGCTATTCGCACGGAATTTTTGAACTTAATTAAATTTCAGTTTTCACTTCAAATTGGCCATCGGAGTGAATGCCGTGTATTGACTAAAACCTTGGACGGATTTAAACGTCTTTTCAAGTATCTTCCTGAGAAGTAACACCATTTTTTAACTCTTGACACCAAAACTGAACATCTGTTCCAGGTTGTCTTGAAAGTTCTGCCCAGTGGTGAATCCCTTGATCATACCATAGATGAATTGACAATATTACTTGAACTTGAGCCAGTTCAAGTAATAAAAATAAAAATGAAATCCCGTCCTGGCGATTCGCGCAACGGGATTTCTATCGATTTTTATTTAATTCACTTCAAGTCTAGTAAACTAAACAACCTTATGGTCTTAGAAAAAGCTAGCCTTATGCTCCATGTCCGATAGAAATGGGAACACTTCAGGAATACTGGAGGGAATTTCCAAAACATCACCCAGTGCCGTAAGTGCCAGGGATGGAGCCATGGAACAAAAAATGTTTACATGCCAGCTATATGCATGAATTGTGGAGATTCCTATCACGCAAACGAAGACCGAAGGAAGATCCTAAGAAATATAAATGTTCAAACCACAGATTTAATTGCTGGTAATTTAAGACCCGCAAAGCAGTCCTACAATCTCGTTCTAAACGGCAGGTAGGAATCGCTCCACGTTCCCGAGCAGGTACTAATGAACACTCAAAATGTATCCTGATGTATGTGGGCGTCTTAGTGGAATCCCTGTATAAAGAGAGAGAGAGAAGGGTGAGTAATTTCCATTTAATTCCACTACCATATATGCTTATCCTTGACAGATACGCGTATTTCGTCTACAATGTGCAGACTTCTTCAGTGTCTTGTACTAAGCGGCGCCGGTGCACCGCGGTGGTGTAGTGGTAAGCCTGATTACCTCTCACCCCAGCAGGCCTGGGTTCAATCCCAGTCGGCGCCGCCAGGGTGTTCTGACGCATAACATCTGTGATCACGCCTACCTTCGGGAGGGAAGTAAAGCCGTTGGTCTCCGGTTCATGAGTTGATGACGGGTCGATAGGTTGGGTCCAGGTATGGGAGCTGCCTCCCTGGCGTCGGTAGCATTGGTGCTCAGCACGGAAAACAAGATCGACGGAAAACAAATCAAGGAAAAAAAAGTGTCTTGTACTATTTAATACTCGACTGAAGAAAATATCGCATTTTACCGAATATATATTAACCCAGGTACATTTTCTTTTAGAAGCTAGGAAAACTTAAATTTAATTTCCTGTAGGAGCAGGAACTCCGCTGCTTACTCGTTGATGTGTCCTAGGTAGTAACTTGAAAAGCCGTTTCCTTGATCCCTGTTGAGTAAAGTTGAACTCCGTTGTTTGTTGATCTCGAGGTTCTCTGCAACATCCAATTTCCATGGTGTAGATACGGTTTGTAAAATCGATAGTTGGTCGTTCTCTGTAGAGATGTGTTCTGCAACCTTTTACTTGAAATCATATGTTAGGCCTTTTTACTTTTGCTTTTTGGCCTTAATAACTTCTGCTATATGTTCTTTAAATCTAGTTGCTACAGTTCTATTGGTTTGTCCTACGTATACTTTGTTACAATGATTACAGCTTATTTTAGATACATCTGCTTTACCTAAAACATTTACTGGGTCTTTAGTGGATCCGAATTGTTCTAACTGTGGTCTTATCTTACAAAATGTCAAATAGCTCGTCTTCCATATCTTTAAGAGATCGAGCATTCCAATTCAAAATATATAACGATTTCAAATTGCTGAATTTCAAGGTCATTAGAAAGTTAGATTTAATATACATTTATTTTAGGACCATCCTAATATATACAGCCTTAATTTTTTAAGCACAAAAACTTCACCGAGACTCCAAACGTCTTGATATTAAAGGAAAAGTTCAAGGACTGCTTTCCTGCTAAGTTCCCAGCCTTAACCACTGTGCATTGTATGAATGCGATGCATAATGGTGAAGTGCTTTATAAAAATGAAAACGAAAATAAAAATAACAAAGCAAAAAAAAATTCCATATTTTTTCTATTTGTAATCATATTATTTTTGTTCCAGATTGGCGATAGAATACTAGCGGTAGACGGCATAGATATCAGTCAATCCTCACATGAACATGCTGTGAAAACAATAAAAAATGCAGACAGCAAAATGATATTACAAGTTCAAAGCTTGGTGAAAAAGGTGAATCCATAGAGCGATGTCCATATACCACGTGAATAGTTTAGAGATTGTATGGATAGTTGTACGCGCAGGAGGATAAGGACGTCTAAAATCTATCGAAATCTGTCCATGTGGTTTATGGACAACCCCTAGCAGTATTTTACTACATATTGTAATCATATACACTAAACTGATGCAAATTGGAATGTTTTCGCTCCACAGTATTCAATCGACTCCAAATTCTGTCTGGTTAGCCTCCCAAAATTTGAAATTATTTGGTTAGAAACTGACTGTGTCCAATCCAAACTTTTTAATATTACCTCCTAGAATTTTACCATATGGCCAAGTATGAGAAAAATTTTAATGCTTACTCTTGTAAAAACATTTTTAGCCAAACGTCAAATAAAACAGTTATTAACAACCGAGCGGGAATCGAACCAAGCCACCTCCAGCATGGTCTTGCTTTGTAGCTGCGCCTTTACTGACTGAGCTAAGAGAGGCCTCATTTACACCTGTTTAGAATCTCGCGAAAAAATGCACTTAATTTCGCTATTTCAAATGTATGCAAGCAAGGTGTATTTCACACATGGTGTGTTTATATTTTGGCAGTTAAGTGTGACACTCTACAAGAAAACAGTTTCCTTGACTGTAATAATTGTTGAATGTTGGTGCAAATACCGCAGCGAAATGATGATCGACGCTCTTCACTATTATCGCAGAAGCCTAAAGAATCATGCAAAGCAAAATACATCCTTCATATGATTTGTACTAAATCAGTTTTCAGTTAACTCATTTAAAATTTAGGGAGGCAATTTAAAACTGTTTAAGCACTGTGGAGCACATAAATAAATGCATCGGTCTTATATACAGCATTGGATTTGTTTGCCGAATCTCGGTAATTTCGGTACCGCCGAATAGCTCCGTAATAAGTTTTACAGAGATCTCCGCAAAAGTGACGTTTGGTTGCTGAAATGTTGAGTCTTGCAAAATGTTTATCTGACTCTCAACATGCAAACCTCATTTTTTGCTGACATATCAGTCCAAAATTGCCGATATTCGGCAAACAAAACTATGTGTGTAGACCTTTCTGACGTTTGCCACGTAAATATGTGTGCACAATAATATGTACAATAGGGTGGGTCATCATGATCATTTTTTCAGAACAATGTATTTTTGGTTCCATTTGGGGTCCCAAACAACTGTGCAAAATTTGGGGATGATTTAAAGTAACGCGGCTTTCCGCATTGCGTTTGAAATTTATATGGAAATTAGTATGGAAAATCCTTCTATTTTGGATTTTTATCCATAGAGTTCACAATTTTGCTTGAACCATGCAACTAACCAAATAAAAGTATAGTCCAGGAAGTGCCTAACATCTTTGCCCAAGAATGTACGGTTCTAGATTCCCGAGCAAAGTCCAGCATCAAAATGACCGCAAATTGAAATCAAGTTTTGATATCAACATCAAACTGAAATCCTAATTAGATAAATTTCGTTTTCATTTTGCTGTACATTTGCTCTTTCTAAAATATGTTGGTGCGGGTTTGTTTTCATTGCCTTAGCATAACATCAAATGTATTACTTGTTTTGTAATCAACAGGAAAAATTGATATCAAATTGAGTTTTCAGTTTGCTCTCACTGTATGCAGAAATAGTTTTCAATGTGATATCACAGGAAGATTTGTTTGCTCTCAATTTTGATATTTTAACCGTTAAAACGACCAAAACGACAGCAACCTGAGTAATCATTATCAGCGAAATCACAACATCAAATTTAGATTTTAATTAGATCTCAGACTTTGCTCGGGATGCCTCTAAAAAAAGTTATAGCTGTTAAATGAGGGTTGGAGAGGTGGCGGTCGGAGGTACCCGAGCAAAGTCTGAGATCAAATTGAAATCTAAATTTGATGTTGTGATTTCGCTGATAATGTTTGCTCAGGTTGTTGTCGTTTTGGTCGCTTTAACGGTTAAAATATCAAAATTGAGAGCAAAAAAATCTTCCTGTGACATCACATTGAAAACTAATTCTGCTATCAGTGAGAGCAAACTGAAAACTCAATTTGATATCAATTTTTCCTGTTGATAACAAAACAAGTAATCAATTTGATGTTATGCTAAGGCAATGAAAACAAACCCGCAACAACATATTTTTGAAGAGCAAATGTACAGCAAAATGAAAACGAAATTTATCAATTGCATAAACTGAAATCAAATTAGGATTTCAGTTTGATGTTGATATCAAAACTTGATTTCAATTTGCTGTCATGTTGATGCTGGACTTTGCTCGGGTAACTACACCTTTATTTCAGTTTGAAACTTTATTCCTATTGATGTGAGTGAGGGCCCGAGCAAAGACTGAGATCAAATTGAAATCTAAATTTGATGTTGTGATTTCGCTGATAATGATTACTCAGGTTGCTGTCGTTTTGGTCTTTTAACGGTTAAAATATCAAAATTGAGAGCAAAAAAATCTTCCTGTGACATCACATTGAAAAATTATTTCTGCTACCAGTGAGAGCAAACTGAAAACCAAATTTGATATCCATTTTTCCTGTTGATAGCAAAACAAGTATTCAATTTGATGTTATGCTAAGGCAATGAAAACAAACCCGCAACAACATATTTCTGGAGAGCAAATGTACAGCAAAATGAAAACAAAATAAGATATTAAATTTGTCAATTGCCTAAACTGAAATCAAATTATGATTTCAGTTTGATGTTGATATCAAAACTTGATTTCATTTTGCTGTCATTTTGATGCTGTACTTTGCTCGGGAAATTTATGATTTCAGTTTGATGTTGATATCAAAACTTGATTTCAATTTGCTGTCATTTTGATGCTGGACTTTGCTCGGGGGGCGTCCTCACTCACATCAATAGAAGTAAAGTTTCAAACTGAAATAACTTTCTTATCTTATCGATTTGATATGTTCAGATGAATTATTCAAAAACAATTTGTCAATATCACAGACACAGTTAAATAAGAGGGGGGCATTACTATACTTCTGCCCTTCTCACTTATATAAATGAGATTAAATATTTGCTCCATTGAATATGCGTAGTTGGAAATGGGGGTGGGCTTACTGTATCCCTTACTTATATCAATGAAAGTAAAGATAAAGACTGAAATAAATTCGTAGTTTCCCATCTCTAGAGTTGATCGGATGGGTTATTCAAAACATTTGCTCAATCTCATAAGCGCAATTTGAAAATGAGTACCCCCTCCCCTTCTCTACTCTTTTGGCTGTAATATAGAATGTCAGTCATATTCACACAAATGTTGGATTGTTATGATTATATTTCAGTTTAATATATTCTACGATTTTTCAGGGTACTCTTTTCGATGCTGTTCGACCACCTGAAGCAAATATTGCTGCTGAAATGGGTCTCTGGTGGATTTCTTGATAAAGCCTGAAGTTAGCTTCACCCCTCATTCAGCCACATCGTTGACAACCATCAAGGAAGCAACTCGTTGTTTCGCACACTCTACACGTTTGCCGGTTTTCGCATGAAGTCGGTCGAAATTTCGAAAAGAAATCAGCACTGTCAAAAATGACGTTTGATATTTGGCTCATCTAAAACGTAGCCCACGTAACGATACCTCAACGAGGGAAATCCGACTGTGTCTGAGACAAAACTCGTTAAGACAGTTTTGGTTTTCTCTTGTTTTTGGTTTTTGACGTAGGACTCCTGTGTTTTATATGTAGAGGAGGCCCTAAAGGCAGTTTAATATTTCAAATTAAAGCTTTATATTTAAGTTTAAAATCTTCAAACAGCGCCCCCCTCTCCAACTATGCATATGAGATCGAGCAATGGTTTTTTAATAATTCATCTGAACATACCAAATCGATAAGATAAGAAACTCCGACATTATTTCAGTGCGGAATCTTACTCCCATTGGTACACGAGCAGTGTTGGCAGAAAAAGTTATTTTTGGCATTTAATTCAAACCATAAATATTTAAACAGTTACAACTTTGTTTATAGACATTCAAGCACCGTACTTCCTTTGGTAAAGTTGTTGGGCACTTCCTGGAATAAATGTGTAATGGTTAGTTGCATGGTTAGTTGCAAGTAAAATTGAGGTCTCTAGGGATAACAATGCAAAAAAGTAAGTTTTCCCATACTAATTTCCATACAAAATTCAAACGCAATGTAGAAAGGCGGGTTACAACCAATCGTCCCCAAATTTTGCTCAGTTGTTTAGGACTCCAAATGGAACCAAAAAAGGGTTGTTCTCGCTTGGGGGAAGTAAAGTTTACGTTTTTCCACTCTAATTTACATGTACTTCTCTGACATTTGCTATGTAAATGTGTGTGTGTTGATGTAAAAATACGAAAATTGCGACTGTATTAGTGCAACAAACTGTGTACTAACTGTGGCTGCAAGTATGAGTGCAATGACGGTCGTGGCTTATTGCGCTTATACTTGAAGCCACCCATAGTTGGTTGTACTAATACTTGGGCATTCATAGAAGTCCATACGCTCTTCTAAAAAAAATAAAACTAGGATCCATTTAAGTATAATTATGTTGAGGAATTACACGTTTAAAATGGGCGGTGGTTTTCATAATATTGAAAAAAAAAACATTTATTTCAGATTGATGACTGTACTGAAACATCAACCCTTCTCAAGAAAGCACCACCACCAATAACACCCTGTAAGACTCCTGAATTAGAATTAATTCATGAAGGAAACGAGGTCACCATCAATGTAAGTTAAATTATTAGTGCCTGCATATAGATTTTCGCTACAGTTTCTAGATTTATGATAGTTAAAAAAAATATTCAAAATTTACAGCGGATTGTTAAAACGATTTGATAATCATTTAGTAATATTATTAAACATGGAAAGATTTAAATTTAACTAATTTTCCATTATGCATTGTTTATACATTTCTCGGATTACAATTAGGCTTTGAAATGATACATACATACATTTATTTGTACAACATCACATTTAAGATAAGACATAATCAACAATAGTATGCAACAATACTCGGTTTGCGGTTGCCGCTCTCCATCCTCGGTCATGCCCAATGCTCGCTAGATCACACTCTACCTGGTCCACCCATCGTGTCTCTGCGCTCCACGCCTTCTTGTGCCAACCGGATCAGTAGCGAACACCAACAGGGTTGTTACCCGGCATTCTTGCAACATGCTCTGCCCACCGCATCCTTCCGGCTTTGGCCACCTGCTGGGTTCGCCGTAGAGTGCAGCGAGCTTCATTCTTCGCCGCCACTCACCGTTCTCCTGCACACCGCCGAAGATCGTCCTTAGCACACGTCGCTCGAAAACTCCGAGTGCTGGCTGGTCCTCCTCGAGCATAGTCCATGTCTCGTGTCCATAGAGGACCACCGGTCTTATTAGCGTTCTGTACATGGTACATTTGGTGCGGGGGAATCTTTTTTGACCGTAGTTTCTTCTGGAGCCCGTAGTAGGCACGACTTCCACTGATGATGCGCCTTCGTATTTCACGGCTCACATTGTTGTCAGCCGTCAGTAAGGATCTAAGGTAAACGAATTCCCCCACTACCTCGAAAGTATCCCCGTCTATCGTGACATTACTTCCTAGACGAATCCCGTCATGTTCGGTTCTGCCTACTAGCATGTACTTGTTTTTGACGCACTCACCACCAGTCCGACCTTTGCTGCTTCGTGTTTCAGGCGGGTGTATAGTTCTGCCACCGTTCCAAATGTTCTTGCGATAATGTCCATGTCGTCCGCAAAGCACACAAATTGACCGGATTTCGTGAAAACTGTACCCCGGCTCTTGAGCCCGGCTTATTTCTTTATTTAACGTCGGTCTCTGTTCCGCAATCTAGTGCCAATCACCGACGGACATCGATTGCCATCCATTGACGGCAGGAAGGCAGCTTCTACACCTGCGAAGGATATCGCACCCATTCAACACACATGGGCCGGGACTAACGGCTTTACTTCCCTTCCGAAGGCAGACGTGACCAGAGATTTTTATGTCTCAGTAAAATCCCACCGACCTCGGCTGGGATTGAGCCCAGACCCATTGGGGTGTGAGAAAGCAGTCACGCTTACCACTACACCACCGGTGCCGGCTGAGTCCGGCTCGTCGCATTACACCTTCTAGAGCGATGTTGAAGAGTAGGCATGAGAGTCCGTCACCTTGTCGCAGTCCTCGGCGAAATTCGAATGAACTGGATAGTTCACCCGAAACCCTTACGCAGTTTTGCACACCGTCCATCGTTGCTTTGATCAGTCTGATCAGCTGCCCAGGAAAGCCGTTCTCGTCCATGATTTTCCATAGCTCTGTGTGGTCGATACTGTCGTATGCCGCCTTAACGTCGATGAACAAATGATGAGTTGGGATCTGGTATTCACGGCATTTCTGGAGGCAACGGTGAAGATCTGGTCCTTTGTCGATCGGCCGTCAATGAAGCCGGCTTGATAACTTCCCACGAACTCGGTCATTTTAGGTGATAGACGACGGAAGATGATCTGAGATAGCACTTTGTAGGCGGCATTCAAAATGGTGATCGCTCTGAAGTTCTCACATTCCAAATGGTCGCCTTTCTTGTGAATGGGGCAGATTACCCCCTCTTTCCACGCCTCCGGTAGCTGTTCTGTTTCTCAGATCCTGACTATCATCCGGTGCAGGCAGGTGGGCAACTTTTCTGGGCCCATCTTGATGAGTTCGGCTGCGATACCATCCTTACCAGCTGCTTTGTTGTTTTTGAGCTACTGAATGGCATCCTTAACTTCGCTCAGCATGGGAGTTGGGTCAGTTCCGTCCTCTTCTGCACTGACGTAGTCGTTTCCTCCATTGCGCTGATCTCCCGTGCTTACGTTCTCCTCGCCATTCAGGTGCGCATCGAAGTGCTGCTTCCACCTTTCAATCACCTCACGTTCGTTCGTCAAGAGGCTCCCGTCCTTATTCTTGCACATTTCGGCTCGTGGCACGAAGCCGTTGCGGGATGCGTTGAGCTTCTGGTAGAACTTCCGTGTTTCTTGGGAACAGCACAGCAGTTCCATTTCGCACTCGGCTTCTTCCAGGCGGCGTTTTTTCTCCCGAAAGATGCAGGTCTGCTGTTTCCGCTTCTGTTTATACCGTTCCACGTTCTGGCGGGTTCCATGCTGCAGCATTACCGCCCGCGCTGCGTTCTTCTCCTCCAAAATCGCCCTGCACTCCTCGTCGAACCATTCATTCCGTCGACTTCTTTCCACGTACCCGATGGTGCTCTCGGCTGCGTCGGTGATGGCTGCTTTTACTGTACTTCAGCAGTCCTCTAGAGGGGGCACATCGAGCTCGCCCTCCTCTGGCAACGCTGCCTCGAGATTCTGCGCGTATGCCAAGGCGACATCCGGTTGCTTCAGTCGCTCTAGGTTGCACCGTGGCGGGCGTCGGTACCGTACATTGTTGATGACGGAAAGTTTTGGGCGCAGTTTGACCATCACCAGGTAGTGGTCAGAGTCGATGTTAGTGCCACGATAGGTCCTGACGTCGATAATGTCGGAGAAGTGCCGTACATCAATCAGAACGTGGTCGATTTGCGATTCCGTCTGCTGTGGTGATCTCCAGGTGTAACGATAGGGGAGGCTGTGTTGGAGGTAGGTGCTACGTATGGCCATGTTCTTGGAGGCGGCGAAATCGATGAGTCGTAGGCCGTTCCCGTTCGTCAGCTGGTGAGCGCTGAACTTTCCAATCGTCGGTCTGAATTCCTCCTTCTGGCCTACCTGAGCGTTCAGGTCTCCTATGGTGATCTTGACGTCGTGGCTTGGGCATCGTACTCGCGGTCGAGCTGCGCGTAAAATGCGTCCTTGTCAGCATCAGTGCTTCCGGAGTGAGGGTTGTGCACGTTGATTATGCTAAAGTTGAAGAATCGGCCCTTGATCCTCAACCTACACATTCTTTCGTCGATCGGCCACCAACCGATCACGCGCTTCTGCATTTCGCCCATCACGATGAAAGTGGTCCTTCAGTAGATTGGCGAGTATTCGGGTGCTCCCGATGAAATTGAGAGATCGACAGTTCCACGTGCCGAGTTTCCAATCGCAAGTCCTATTTCGTCACTGGGGTCGTTGCCGTTGGTCTCGGTTCGTATTCCTCTGTTGCTGATTTTCCGTTGCAATGCTTTTTTTACGGCTTTTTCGCAGGGCCTGACACCAACCCCCTAACTTTCCGGAAGACCAGGGTGCACAGTTGTGCTTAGAGTCCTACACTGGCACTCGGACGTAGATCAGCCGCCCCTAACATGGGGAACAGACGCTGTTGTGAGCCGCTCCTCCTGGAGAACAGACGCTCAGGCTTGCCGAAGCAAACCCCCCTTCCCTGTCAGCCTATGACCAAAGTTCCCACCGGGGTTGGTTACCCGATCTTCCCTAAGGTTGTTCCCAGTTCCCGGCCGGTACCACTGGGTGGTAGGGATAGGAGTTGCTGGGAAGAGGCTAGTGATCTCAATGGAATCTGTATTGCACATTACCCAGCATTAACCGCTTTGACATGATACTAATTCCGAATAAGGAATTCGATCAGTGTAAACCAATATTCTGCGAAGGATATCGCACCCATTCAACACACATGGGCCGGGACTAACGGCTTTACTTCCCTTCCGAAGGCAGACGTGACCAGAGATTTTTATGCCTCAGTAAAATCCCACCGACCTCGGCTGGGATTGAGCCCAGACCCATTGGGGTGTGAGAAAGCAGTCACGCTTACCACTACACCACCGGTGCCGGCTGAGTCCGGCTCGTCGCATTACACCTTCTAGAGCGATGTTGAAGAGTAGGCATGAGAGTCCGTCACCTTGTCGCAGTCCTCGGCGAAATTCGAATGAACTGGATAGTTCACCCGAAACCCTTACGCAGTTTTGCACACCGTCCATCGTTGCTTTGATCAGTCTGATCAGCTGCCCAGGAAAGCCGTTCTCGTCCATGATTTTCCATAGCTCTGTGTGGTCGATACTGTCGTATGCCGCCTTAACGTCGATGAACAAATGATGAGTTGGGATCTGGTATTCACGGCATTTCTGGAGGCAACGGTGAAGATCTGGTCCTTTGTCGATCGGCCGTCAATGAAGCCGGCTTGATAACTTCCCACGAACTCGGTCATTTTAGGTGATAGACGACGGAAGATGATCTGAGATAGCACTTTGTAGGCGGCATTCAAAATGGTGATCGCTCTGAAGTTCTCACATTACAAATGGTCGCCTTTCTTGTGAATGGGGCAGATTACCCCCTCTTTCCACGCCTCCGGTAGCTGTTCTGTTTCTCAGATCCTGACTATCATCCGGTGCAGACAGGTAAACCAATATTCATACAAAAATTGCAGTTTAACGACATGTCAAACGCGAAGGCGACCGGCTTACAGTCGATTTGTTCTCTTATTGTTTCGCATCGTTCTGTTTTTTTTTAATAATAACTTTATTTGTACAGGCTCAATCGAATAAACTTCACAGAGCCGAGTTATCATTTTCGTTATACATTATTAATGTCTTATATTTAAATTTAAAGGAACCGGACCGTATACTCGCGGTTGTCTCGAGGTTAGTGGAGATTTACAATATTTTGGATGGGAAAAAGGAGAAGGACGTGAGAAATGTGATTTACGATGCAAATATATTTTTTTTACTTATTTCTATTTATCATGAAAACCAACATTAAAAAACCCACACGTACAAAATACAAACTAAACACAAGGTTATTCAAACATGCAATCTAAGGTTAATATTCTTACAGTAAACATATATGAGTTTCATAAACTCCAGATCGCGTCCAGCCAAAATATCCAGAACTTGAACATTAGGTTGGTAACCTTGTCCACATTCACAGAGATTGCTATCCCCCAGCCCAATACGGAACAAGTGAGCGTTTAACGAATAGTGATTGGACATGAGGTGAGACATCAGACGTATGAAGTCTCGACCCACCTCCAACCCCTTGAACCAAGGACTCTTCGACACCTTAGGGATGATCGAGTATAGTCATCGTCCCAAACTCCCTTCACTCCATTTATTTTGCCAGCTGGCGAGTGACTGTTGACGATAAATGAAGAAAAATTCATTGTAGGCGATTTGACGCTCGTAACTATCGCCTTCCATAGCGCCCACGTTAGCAAGTGAGTCCGCCATCTCATTGCCCGGAATCGAGCAATGAGATGGGTCCCATACAAAGGTGATGACAAAAGATCTTAAAGATAAAGCACTTAAACGCTCCCGTATTTTCATGAGAAAATACGAGGAGTGCATTACCGGCCTCATGGAGCGAACAGCCTCGACAGAACTGAGACAATCCGTAAAAATAAAATAGTGATCTGGTGCAAGTGAGGCGACAGTTTCTAGCGTATATTGTATTGCCGCCAGTCCAGCAACATATACGAAACAAGGATCATAAAGCATTCGAGAGGCGCTATAGAATGTGTTGGGGGATTTAGGTTCGTTGGTTGAGCTGAATATTGCGTTTGCCTTTCCGTGCTCCAAATATACACCTTGTATCCACCGTCATGTACTTTAGATCCTACGTTGTGTGTTTGTCCAGAATCGTACTATTTTTTTTTCCTTCCAATTCCGATCATTTCCGAATATCCTAGGTATCCTCTGGCTCCACTTTATTCGTACGGGTTAAAGCGCGTGCGTGTATATTTTTGCCTTTATTCGGTTGGCTAACTAAATTCACTGTGTTCGTTATCTGTCTATCATACCTAGGAATTCATGTAGGTACTGTCTCTTCGTGTTCTATTCGTGTTGAGTGTTCATTTAGGTACTAATTGTGTAAGTATTTAGTGAGTGTCTTCTATATGTGGTGAATGTATAACAGTTCTGTATCAACCAGTGTTGTAAATTCAATTTTAAATAATTCAACAATCGCTTAATACTAAAACATCCAACAGAATTCGTTATAAATACCAAAATCAACGGACGCCTCTATTAGTGATCCATCTATGAAGAACGATCTTGCGGAATCATCTTGGCCAAACTTTACAGTGTATAATGACGGAACAATCATGGAACGATGATGTTCTGAGATTCTGCGAATCTCTTGTGTCATAGATAAATCAAAACTAACTGAATTGCCGAAGTCGAAGAAGCATACACGATGAGGATTATGCTGTGAAAGGCTGACATCTTGTGTTATGTACACGAAATACAATGACATAAAACGAGTTTGAGGGTTTAGCTCAAGAAGCTTTTCAAAGTTTTCGATTACCAGTGGGTTCATGACTTCACAACGGGTGAGGAGCCTGAGGGACAATTCCGAAAACCGATCCGAAAGTGGCAACATGCCCGCCAACACTTCTAGACTCATCGTATGAGTCGAGTGCATGCATACTAACGCGATACGAAGCCAACGATACGGGATCCGTCCCAGTTTGATGATATGTGTTTAGTGCGCTTTTTTAATAGCTTCTCAAACATTGATTTTAGGGGTATAGTTTGTTTAAAGGTGGTTTTTTTAGAGTAAATTCGGTCGACTTCGGTTGAGGATTTTGTTTTCGCTAGCGCTGATTTCATCTGTTTTTCGCATATTTTGTAAATTAATATCTATCACATCTTAAGAAGTTTTTTTTTTGTGATATTATAATTAACGTGAAAAATCTGGGACAAGAATTTGTTTCGAGTAGCTGTGTTGCTGTGGTGTCGCGTCGGTCGGGTTTTCATTTCGCTTGTTTTTGGTGCTTTGCCTTCCTCCCAAGAAGAGTTTTACCAGGTATTTTTTTCTTTTCTTGGTGCTGGCGTTCTGCCTTCTGGAGGATGCACGCGAATGAGGTGTCAAGCAAAAATTCGGTGCAAATGAAAAACTTCGAATGTGATTCAAAATGTCGTGTTGGGTTGTAAAAACAACGCGGAAGATTTTTTCGATTACCGCGAGTAAACAAACCGGTCCTTTTTCGGAGGCAGAATTTAGTGCGATCCATCTGATTTATAATCAATCATAAATGCATATTTCCATATATTAACCAGCAACTACCCCTAACAATATCGATTATTTAAGAATAACTTTTTTGTTTCAAGAGATAATTAGTTACAATTTTCAGCAAAAGCATGTGTTTGAACATGCAAAATATAGTTGTACAAGAAACCAAAATTGTAGGATGCTTAGAAAATCAGTTATACTAAAAAACATGATTTACAGGGGCCTTTCACGAAAAATGATACATATCTCGCAATTTATAAG